CCCACGAAGGAGTAGCTGGTGCGCTGCCTCCCGCTGGCATTGGTTGGAATGCTTTTGTAACAGCCGTCAAGTCCATGCTCGAAATGGCAGCGGATCGACGGTGGTGGTGACCACGTCTCCCGGGGCCCGGGCCACTAAGGCCAGGTCCTGGCGGGGCGAGAGGCAGTGTCGCTGGAAGCACATTGTTCTCCAGCATTGGAGGCCCCAATCCCCCTACGATCTCGCCACCATTCAGTTCGCTTGGACGTCGACGATGGCCGGCAGGGCGTAGTTTCGGTGTCGTGGGTGGAGGAGACGTACAGGAAATAGCTGGATCAGGGGCTTGTGGGAAGGAAAACGCAGGAAGTGGCGCAGGTGAACGAATGGAAGAGGAGTTAGAGGATGGGGAAGGAGGATCACGTTGCGGGAAGGCGAAGACTGGTTGAGGAGGCCGCGCTGCAGTTATTGACGGACGTCGAGGATTCTGGGTATCGTTGGAAGTGCTCGAGGAATCCGGAGACAGTTGTTGAGCCTGGGTAGAGGAAGGCGATATCGAAGTCATCATGAATAGTACCAGCACCAAGCAGTGCAGGAATCATCCAGGTTCACGCAGGCAACGAGATTTTTGTTTGGCTCGAGAATTACAAGGGTAATGAATGACAACAGACTTCTCCTGACCAGCAGAACGATGGCGGCAATTTAGGTGCTATTTCGAGGATTCCCCTCCAACCGGCTCAAGACACACACAACACAAGGCAACACGACTCAACGCCTTCTTCTTCTTCTTTCAGGCAGCCCACCGTAATTCACTGCAACTATACATTAGGCCCTCTCCAGTAGAGGCGGCTTTCGGATTAGGACCACAACTCGAGCGGTAAAACGATAGAGGAGACTGCAGTAGGAAATTGTGGTTGTATTAATAGATGAGGGGTATATTCGTTACGAGGAAGTCATAAGCTGTTGCTGGAGATGTGAGGGGAACGTAAGGAGCGGACGGCCACGACGAATGGCCAAAGGACGCGAGTAGGACTACGAAAGGAGTGGAATGGTGTGACAGAGAGAAGTAGAGGAAGAAGGGGGAGGAGGGGAAGAGGAAGCGGACGAGGAAGGAAACAGGGAGGAGATAAAGGTGTCCGGAGGAGGAGGACGCGGAGGAGAACGAAGGAAGACGTTGAGATAGAACAGAGTGGAGGAGGGCGAGAGAGCGAGCGATGGCAGGCGGTGGCAGGGCCAGGGGCCGGATTAGTCATGCACGTGGGTTGCTGATGATTGGCTGCATGTAGATTACAGCAGAGTTACGGTAGGATACGGGAAGGGAAAAGGTACCGGACAGGTACCAAATTAGACTTCCTGGAGCGGTAATGTTTCAATACCCAATCGGTACAGAATCAGATCTGTGGACAACTGAGAAACGACAACCCAGCAGCACACCCAGAGGCTAGAGCACAGACAAAGTGATGCTTCTGCATGGCTGTTGACTGCAGAACTGGCTGGGCATCATGACACTGCATCTTCCTCCGCCGATATTATTTTATATTATTTTATTGTTTCAAGCAAATATGAGTTTTGTATGGCGATGTAACGGTTGACTTTCATCACTAACTACTCCGTACTCCGTAGTTGATTAAATTAATTAATAACAACAACAATATTTTGCTCCACATGATCCACGGATGTCATTTGCCGATTTTGGCCGAAGTTCTTCTGTGGCGCAGGGCTCATTGAGATCCTGCTATCCTTCAATTTGCAAGGCCGAGAAGTTGGGTGGGGGAATTGAGCAAATCAACGCCTTCAAATAAAATTGAATCTTCTGCGAAACGCGATCGACTTGCGTGCGCTGCGTACGCAGTACTTCCATGACCCTAGTACTCCGTATGGTCGCCGAAATCATTTCGACGATCTTTACCCGCCAAAGCAATGCATCAAATAGTCCAAAATGTGCCAGCTCGTAAATTCGTAAATAAATGTCGCTTGTTTCAGCTCCCTGCCTCCTGTGTCTCTCTCTCTCTACCGTGCATTCTTGCGAAAGGACCCTGTCCATCGCTTGGGTCTCCACACGCAACGCCAAAATTGCCAATCCCCGCCAATCGTCCACCTGATCCTCCGCCAGAAATCGCCGATCAACATTCAACAACCGTTTCTTGATTCATTAGGACATTCGCTTGACATTTCAATGTACGGCTTGATTCGACTAGCACTCTGGCAGTACCGTGATAGAATATGTATGTATGTATATCGGATTCTTCTTTGGCCTGGCTGAAGTCCAGAGAAAATTTGGAGGTAAAAAAGATAAAAAAAAAAAGGAGCAAGCGGGTAAAAAAACGCATACGCTGTATGATACCTGTCTAGTGCCGGACATGATACAGTACAGTACAAGTAGTTTGTGCGGCGTTATACATACCTCAGTACAGATCCGTACATAGTTTCGCTCATGAGAAACAGATTATATCTATAGATACTCTACAGAATAGTATATATCCACGTTGACTGACATGGATACTGCTACATCTTCGACCATAGCAATTGAGAAAAGAAAGAGTAAAACACCCCCGAACTTCATGATACGGACTGTCTCAATCAAATCATCATCTCCACTGAGACATGACGGGGCAGTTCAGAACGGGGGGTAAACTGACCTTACCATAGACTAGCCGCCAGCCACTTATCGGCTGGAATATAAATAGCTCCCCGATACACGGACGTATGATACATAGCGCTTGTATCGAAGTTGTGGAGGTTCATCAGTTATTTTATTGTTGTGATCAATTGATTCTCTTATAGAAATGATAGTAACGGGAATATCGATTCGGGCAAGACTAAAATGAGACATAACTACGGAGTACTAGTATTTCAAAGCCTATCCTCACCCCCTACTCCATCCATAACCATATGGCCACGATGGAGTGTGTCCTCTGAGCATGCCTAATGAATGTAGTGAGGATACAACATGAAATTGCATTGGAATATACTGACATTGATGATTTCTTTCAATCCATATCCTAAAAGGAAACCCCCAGAGGGAAGTAATTTTGCCAACCCATTCTCTACACTCTCATCAGCCTTGACAAACCCTGGAGGTATTATGTTATCATCCTGATAGCTCCCCTCATACGTAGATAACTAACTGTAAATCCGTTAAACTTATTGAGAGTACATGTAACTAGTTCGGTTCCTTTCATCCCCAGGCATGTGTCTTCTCCCTGCCACGCGCTGGGCCCCATGCCCCTGCCTCCAAGCTGGAAGCCCCTGATGGATATACATACTCTGTAGGGGGAACGAAAACCAGCCAACAGAACAGACCATGCGATAGCTCTTACGAACTTAATCCACAAATTGCCCACTGCGGAAATAAAATAGAATAGAATAGAATAGAATAAAATAGAAAAAAAACAAAAAAAACAAGTTCTTCGAATTTTCCCCCTTTATTTCCAGGATTGAAATTCCAGCTTCCTTGTTTTGCGCAAGGGAAAAGGGGACGGGCCGGGTGGAGCGATTTATTTGTCCTGTCAAATCATGGCACCACTCATCTCCCAACCTGTAGGCTGTGGTGAACCTGGTTTGCTTTTTTGCTAAGATGTACTCCGTATATTGGAAGATTTCCGGGAAGGATGAGGAGGATCCTTGTTGCTTCAGCATACAGTACAGAGTAACCGCTGAACATACCTCGTACATAGCATACACACTGGTCGATGTTGTGATGGAGGCTCATGCATACTGGGGTTTCGTGCTGCCTTGTTCAGACACACAGTACTGGTACCTGATTTGATGTAGCTATATCACCCGGGATATGCCCTGCAGGAGGAAACGCTCTATTAAATAATATCTCTGCCTTCTCCATCCATAGGGTATGGTGGCACCCATCAAGCCTTGCTCAACTCTAGAAAAGCGGAAACGGCATTGCACACGACAATAGATGCTCTGAAGATGACAGTGACGGATACCGCTCCGCATGGCACGGCATCCTTGATTTGATTGATATGAGACATGCAAGTCAGTCAAGATGATGTATTATGTCTGTACTGCACATGAGATACCTGCATGCATCTCCGTCCGTCCTGCCAACTTACCAACATTGATACTGGGCTGGGTTGTGCAGTGTATCTCTCCCTTTCGCATGAAATTACCGCGCCCTGATCCATTTTAACGGTTCAACGTAACACCGTCTTCTTGCTCCAGATATATCGGAGTTAGGCTTAAGCTGTGTCCCTCCACTCCGACATCTTCAAGAAACGTGTTCGACTTCCATTAAGGAGAGTCAGTCGTGATGTTCTACGCTATGAGTCAGGTATTCTTGCCCGAGGTGTAGCTCCGGATAGTGTTCGACGAGACATTGTCAAACT